TCAGATCCGTTCTCTTTTCTCCATGAAGACCCCGGCATTTTGTAAAACTCAAACCTGTATCTTCTGCCTTACCTCCTCCCAATGAAATTTTTCTTCAACCCACAAATTTCTTGCATTCCAGTAAAATTTCATTTGAACATTTAGAAATACAATTTAGGCATCCAAAGAAAGGGGGCAAGAAAGGGTACAAAGGGAATTCCAACACAACAACTAACAGTTCTAGGTGTAAATGATTTGTAATGAAACTTTGAGACAAAGACCATTTCATTTGGTGAAGCAGAGCTATGTAGCTACACTCCCAACTTCAGTTTTGTAGAAACATAACCTAATAGTGATAATAGATACTAAGCTGGATGTAAGTCCCATTAAACCCAAAGGGGTTTTCTTTTGTATAGAAAAAAAATGTTGGAGTGCAATAGTAATTTTGACCACTTCCAAAAATACTGTTGAATTTTGTAAATCATGCCTGCTAAAAACTGAAAGGGAGCCCTTGTGAAGGACAAAAGTTCAGGGCAAATTATGCTTTCAAGGTCATGTGGCCAGCATGACTGCATGGAGTACCATTACCTTCCCACTGAAGCAGTACCTATTGATCTCACATTTGCATGTTATTGAACTGCTAGGTTGGCAGAAGCTGGGGCTAACAGTTCACCCCATTCCCTGGATTTGAACCACTGACTTTTCAGTCAGCAAATTCAGCAACTCAGTTGTTTAACCTGCTGCACCCCCGGAGACTCCTATTATTATTAGTACAAAGTCTAAATTATATGGGAAAGTCTAAATCATAAAGATTACGGACTTAGGGTTACCACACAAATAAACAGCCAATTAAACCTGAGATAACACTTGTCTATGAAGGAATCTTTAGGTTCTCCAGAGCAACACTATTGTCAACATCTAGCTGATGCTGACCATAGAGTCATGCTATGGTCAGCATGGTCTGGTGACTCATAGAATATATTAAATGCATCCACAAATAATCAAATATGCAAATGTGGAGCTAATAATTACTGCAAAGAAGAATAAGCTCTGTCCTAATTCACCTCAAAGAGTATTGCTAAGAAATAACCACTCTTTTGGGGAGAATTCAGTCTTACTTTTGTTTAGGTCAGGGGCGGGGACAGAGGAAGTCCCAGCAACCTGATCCTGCACAACCAATAGTGATGAATCCTGGGAGTTGCAGTTGAGCAACATCTAGAGGACTGTATTATTCTTGCCACTGGTTTAAGATATCATGGGTTAAATCCAATTATTATTCCCAACTAGAGAGGACTTCCTGAATAAATTGTGGGATGGTAAGATAACACATATGTTTACTGATGTAATGGGTCTATTCCAGTTGAAATTATCAGAGTGAATTCACTATTTTCTCCATTATGTTACTTTTTCTCATAAGCTGCCATATAATTTGTTCAGTGATGCTTTTATGTTACAACTTTACACTCAAAATGAGAATGTTGGGGAAAGTATTCATGTTTGTATGTACATATGGACTGAACATAGACATGGAACCCTGCCACTGGTCCCTAGACAAAATTGTTTTATATTGAGTAAGAAAGAGATAAATCCAATTGTTTGTCCCATCTAGAATACCCCTCATAGTGGAATTTATCGAAGGGCCCTTCCACACAGCCCTATATCCCAGAATGTCAAGGCAGAAAATCCCACAATATCTGCTTTGAACTGGGTTATCTGAGTCCACACTCAGATAATGTGGGATTTCCTGCCTTGATATTCTGGGATATAGGGCTATATGGAAGGGCCCTAAGTGTAGAATTACCATGTCATTCATCAATTGATTAAATGGGCCAGCACTTGGTGGAACTAGCAGTTGAATTTACTACACTAAAATCCTCCCCAAGCTATCATTGAATTTCCCCCTCAAATTTAAGTTTACAGTCATCAGGGTGCACACACCCTCCATACCATCATAGAATTGCACATAAACAAAACAATCTTCTTGGTTGTATATCACAGCTGCTAAATGCTGCACTTTTGGGTGTGTGATGTGCATGAGCTGCTATTCATTGATAAGCAGTCATCACCACCATTCTGGTTCTCACATTCAGGAATCATGTTGCTAAAAAAACATACTGGAAAGAGTAAAGTCAGTATTCTCAAAAGTGCCTTCACTTTTTTCTGCCTCTCCAAAAATATTATAATTTTTCCATCATGTTTCCAAGGTACAGCATGTTCTCTGGATATTCAGACAGCAAAAGAAAGTGATTTCTCTGCAGCTGTCAAATTTGACAGCTGAAGTACAGCTTGTAAGCTCTTCCTCACTGCAATGTGTTTTATGTGTTTGAAGTTTGGAAAACCATAACTTAAGTCCTCCAAAGCCACTAGGATCCCAGATTCAAATGTTCTCTGCTCCACCTTTTCCACTGTATGCCAAGTAGTACATTTTTTCATGAAGGAAAAGACTTAGAGGTTAACAGATTGGGCAATTAGTAAAGCCCTACATGACCTACAAGCCTGGAGTCCCTTGCCCCTGGAGCTGTTACACATTGTTATGGGTGGCTCATCTGTTCTATAGGGGCAAACATACATGTCTAAAAGCGAAACCTAAAATAGCATCCTCTCTTTCTCTTTTACTGTTCTCCAAGGGATCTGTGGAACTTGGGGAAAATAGAACAAGGGAATTAACAGCAGGAATTAAGGGGGAAGTGATCCACTTATGAAGCCCATTTTATCCAACAGATCCTCAGTTATTTGGTACCAGATGACCACGTCCTTCCATGATTGCCATTTAAAACAAAATGCATATAAACAAATAAAGGTTGCAACCTGTTAGTTGCATAGATGTAAGTCCACCTTATGCCTGAATATGTCTTTTTCTCCAGTCATTGTGGAGTTGGTATTATTTTCCAACGACAATTAAAACACATACACCCCAAACTCAGTCCCACTTTTTCATGTCTGGTGGAGAGCAGGAGGACTGAGGGAGGTATCTGTCCATAAGCAGATACAGAATTATTACTTTATCAACTGAGGCCTCTGGAAGATCCCTGTGGATGAAGCAATCATTTTGTATCTGGCTACAGAATCCAAATACCCTGAAAGCTGCAGAACCCATCTGAGTTTGGAGGCTAAATAAGGTCAGCCCTCGTTAGACGAGCAATGAATACCAGGTGCTGTAAGCTATATTTCAGAAGAAAGAGCTGGCAAAAACACCTCTGAGGATCCTATGAAATTCATGGGGTCACCATAAGTCTTCAGGCAACCTGGTGACATATATCTATTATACACAAAGGGGACAAGCCATAAGCATCTCTTATTAGCACTCTCCATTAGCTACAGAAAGGTTACGGTGAAAATACCAGCAGGAGTATTATGTGGATAGTTTTACTACAATTCCACATCTGGACCTTATACTACACTTATTCTACAATACAAGGTTTCAGCCATTATCTTCCCTTATAGGATGAGACTTGGCCTACCCAGCCACCTTCTCTCTGTTGAGTACCTTCTTTATCCCATTCTTTTTGAGAGGTAGAGACTAGGAATGAACATATTATGCAAGAGATCAATTCTCCCCTCAGGAACAAAACCAAGTCTGTTTTTTTTCAGCTTATACCTTGTCTCTTTCATGTTTCAGAAGCATTAAGAACCAGAGTTTCTGCCCATCACACGTTAAAGCTGAGGAGCTAAATAAAGAAACTAGAGTCTCTTGATTTCAAACTGATGGTTTATTTGCCAGCATCCTACAATTTGAAGAATTTGAAAGGATTTTGAAGAAAGGCCAATCTGTTGCACTGAAAACAAGGGAGAGGAATCTTGGATCATGAAACAGAACAATTAAAAACAGAATGTTTAAATTACAGAACTTTCCTATATCATTTTTTTCAGTGGTGACCTCTTAAAACTGGAAATGTATGTTACAGTAACCACATGAAATGATTTCTTCTATGGCATAACTGTTCTATCAAATAACCATAAAGCAGAACTAAAGAACCTGTCTTCCAGATATATTATACTCCAACTCCCATGATCCTTTGGCTATGCTGGCTATGGCTTCTAGACATAGATGTTTAAAATATCTGGGAGGAGCACAGGCTCTCCAAGGCTACAGGAACATATGCAGAAATCTTACTACACCATGCATGAGCAAACTTCAGCCCTCCAGGTGTTTTGGAGTTCAAAACACCTGGAGGGATGAAGTTTTCCCATGCCTGTACTACACACTGAATTTCAGTTTCACTTCTGGTCATCACTAACGATAGTTTGCACTGGTGCTGGAATGGCAACTGACTTGTGGTTGGCCATACTGGGTATAACCTGTACAACTGGTTATAACCTGTACAACTGGAAAAGTGGGGTGGCTCCCTTCATGTGAATAGTTGTGCTGTGCAGATCAGCCATGAATCTAAGACTTTATTCAATGCTTGAATTATATTTTTACAGATTTGCCAGAAAACCAAGTATACCATACATGAGAAGCTATTAATGAGGGGCTGGATTTAATTTCTAGTTTCTTTGGCTATTAAGTCAGTCTGATCTCTATCCTGTTTCATTGCAATGCGGTTTTTTCTTTAACAGGAGTTAAGTGATATTATTGTATAAATAAAAAAAACTATACTTTTTTCCTAGCTTTTCCCAAACTGACACGCCCAGATATGTCGGGCTACAATTCCCATTATACACAAGTTGAAGGCCAATAGCCATGAGACAGTTAACACATAGCAACTCTGGTGGGAACCAAATTGAAGACAACTGTTATATATTATAAACTGAGGAGTGTCTTTTTTTATTATTACTTATTATTAAACTTTATTTGTACCCCGCTAGCATCTCCCGAAGGACTCGATGCGGCTTACAAAGGCCAAGGCCTCAACACACAATATAACAATATCACAATGTCTCTTTTGCTGTATTAAGTAAAGGGTTCTGTGCAACCTTTTTATTTAACTTTTTTTCCTGCAAATATTAGTATTTAATTAAAACTGTGTGTGCTCTTTGCTAAACACATTTTGATTCTCCTATTTTCATAGTATTAAGTGTGCAATCTGGATAAATTATATGAATCATGTACTGTCATGTAATTCATAGTATCCACTCACTTTAAAGAGGAAGGCTGCCCAAATGAACAGCTTCCTAAGCTCCCATTCCCAAGGCAATATCATTTTTTTCTTTTGACTACAATTTCCGGAATTTCTTAGCCTTGGCCATGTTGCCTGGCAGCTGTTGTCCAGAACGGTAACATTTCAGGCTCTTTTCGAATGTATCCTTGAAGCTTGATTGCCTGCCTTTAAAAGAAAGCTGAGGTTCTTAGAATCCTATTAAGCTGCTATCAAAGCTCAAATTCTCAGAATCCAATGATTCAGCCAATACTAGAGACTGTGATGACTCATCCATTTCAGTGAGAAAGGCAGCCAACATGTTCATGTTCTTGCGTCTATTGAAAACAAGATCACAGTCCATGCCACATGAACCTGTGGGTTGCTTTTTCATGCATGGAATCATCAGACAGATAATGATCATTAATCTAATAGGTCTTCTATTTCACATTAGTCTGAAGTGAAATGACTGCAGTCCCAGACACATGCAGGGTAATTATCCTTTACCCAAAATGCTTGGGATCAGGGGTGTTTTGCATATATGTCCATAATAAGTTATTCTGAAGGATGAACCCAAGTTTAAGCACAAAATTCATTGATGTTTCCTCTACACCTTGTAGATATAGCCTTAAGGTAATTGTATACAATAAGTCTGCATGTGAGGAACCATCAGAAGCAAAGGTGTCACTTTCCAGCCACCCATGTGGGCAATTTTGGATTTTTCGAATTTCTCCTTAAAACAAAATCAGAATAATATTAACATAAATGATCTTTTGCATCATTTAGATAATACCTAACATGTACATATCACTTTTAAGTGTCCAAAGAGTTTCACATTATGCATTATGATGATGTTAACTGTTACAAGAAACCTTCACGGTAAGAGAAAATTGTCATGCCCCATAAGCAGATAGGAAGATTGAAGTAGAAGGGATGGGAGGAGAGGCTTAAATAAGTAGGCTTATGCCATCAGTGACATTCAAACCTGATTTTCTGATGCATAACTCAGTTTTTTTAATTCAGAGGTGTCTCATACAGTACAACCCCTTATGCATTGGACCATTTTTTGTAGTTTGACTTATTCCTGTCCAACACAATATGCATTCTATGGTTATTTTATACATCCTCCAGCATGATTCTATGGTACACTTGGGCTGGAAGTCCTTCATTTCGATAGGGTTAGCTATTATCCACAGTTTGACATATCCATACAAAGTCTGGGATTGTATCCCCTGCAGATATAAGCATCATACTGCATTTTGAAACAACTAGGGAACCACATAAAATGGAGTTAAGATGGTCAGTTTGTATGTTCTGTTACGACCTCATCACATGGGCTTTCAGCCTCATCCTAGGACTCTGCTGAGATGCAGCCAGGATAGAGCCCAATGGAGCACATCACATGACGCAGGGCTACTTCCAGCAGGGCTCCATGCCCACTGCGTCTTGGCAGCATACTAAGCGGCAGTCCTGACAAAATAGGTGGCTACCTGTGTTCTCATAGGACAGTGTGGGAGCAATCCAGAGCCAGACGAATACCAGTGTAGAATGGCAAGAGGGCAATGCAGGTCAGGGCACTACTCAACTGATTCACCACACTAACCCCATGGTCCCCTGGGGTTAAGGACTTCCATGTGATGAGGTCCTTAGTCTTCACCCTACAACATGAGGTTTTAGCCAGCTTGAAAATTGATTTCATCTTGTTCTGAAACCCATATTTTGAGGCCAGATGCCTGCCTATTTTAATTTTCAAACACTTCTTTGTACAATTAAAACTTCATTCAGCAATAATAACCATAAAAATCACAACAATTTTAAACAGTTGAAACAGTGCTCTAGAGAGGAGAAGGATGTAGCAAATTAATAATGCCCTTCACATCCACCAATTGGTGGATGTGTACAGTCAGCTGCTACTGCTGCAAACTGTCAAACCGGTTTCTTTGAACTCAATCTTGAAAGAAAGGATTGACCGCAGTAGCCCTGCTATTCCAGGTATATATATTTGTATATTTTTCAAGGCAAAAGTGTGGTATAGCATCCCTCTGGTATCCTTTCAAGTGACCAGAGATAGTAAAGAAGAAAGTTACAACTTTGACATATAAGTATAAAATTAGTTCATTCACAGTGCAACAATTTGCAGGTACTAAAGCTATTTATTTATTTATTTATTTATTTATTTATTTATTTATTTATTTATTTGGCTTGTATACCGCCACTCCCAATTTGGCTCAGAGCGGTTTACAGCAGTAGATTAAAACAATATGTATCTAGTTTCCTGAAAATCAATCGAATGACTGAGGAAATGTATTGATTATAATAATTGAGAAGCTTCGATGATTATTATCAGGTTATAAAATGTGCAAGTAGCATTGTTAGATATACATGTGTGTGTGCATCTGTTTCATCTCTCCACTCACTCTTAAGTTATACAAGACTCCTTTCCATGCCAAACACACTGTGAAAAGTACAGATTTTTTTCACACTTGTTCAAGTTGCAAACAGGAAGGTGTGCTCAGGGCTCATTAGAAACCAGTAATCAATATAAAAATAATCAAAGTACTAAAGATCTGTTCCTAATAATATCATAAAATGTAATAATTTCCTATATACAAGACAATTGCATCTATTAAAAACTCTACAAACTCAATGCTTTGGGTCCATATAAAAATAATAATGTTTACATATTTTCATATATATTCTTTTTCCACGGTGTCACACTCTGTGCAACTCAATTTGGTTTCGCTTCTGCTGGTTTGTCGGCCTCGTCTCCTGATAAGGTGTCACTTCCATATTTCTTCACCTTGGTCTCTACTTTTACAAGTCTCTGCTTGACTTTGGCCTGACCTGCCGTGTATTCTGCTAGGAGTCTAGCAAACCTGGTCTGGAGAATGTCCAAAGCTGATTCAAGTTTCACTATTTTTTCTTCCAGATCTTTGGGATCTGCTCCTGCTTTTGCTGCTTCCTCATCAATTAAATTATCTTTCATCAAAATTTGACGTCCTTTTTCTTCCAGAGCTTTTTTGGCATCTGGGTACTCTGTGAGAGCTTCCATTAGATCATCTTTGGACAAGCAAAAAAGATCAGAATAACCTATGCTCTTTATGTTGGCTGTCCTTCTGTTACCAGATTTGCTACCTTTGATGTTTAAGATGCTGATTTCTCCGAAGTAACTTCCATCACTTAGGACCACAAACTGGGTTATGCCGTCATCAGCAACAACAGCCAATTTCCCTTCTTTGATGATATACATTTCTCTGCCTATGTCCCCTTTCTTGCAGATATAATCTCCAGGACTAAAGACAGTCGGTCGTAACTTTAACACCAGCTCAATAAGCAGCCCAGCTTCACAGTCTTGGAAGATACGGACCTTCCTCAGTGTATCCAAGTGAACGTTAATGGCAATTTCAGCCTTCAGTTTATCAGGAAGGTATTTGAGAACTTCTTTCTCTTCCACTGTTTTCTTATTGGTCCACAGGTAATCAAACCATTTAATAACTCGGGCTTCCAAGTCTTTTGTGACTTTTCGGAAATGCAAATACTGCTTGATAGAATCAACTTTGGCCTGGAACTCTGCCCGGGAAGCATTCATGTTAGAAATCATAGAGCCCACATTACCGACGATGGTAGCAAAGATAAGCACACCCACCAGAAAGTCAATGACTACAAACAGATACTCTATATCTCTCACGGGAGGCGGAGTTTCTCCAATGGTGGTTAATGTCAATGTCGACCAATACAAACTGTAAATATACTTTCTGGCTAGACGCCCATGTTCTGGATGTGACACATTGGGATACACCCAGGTATCGCTTCCAAATCCTATTTGCTTTGAAATGGCAAAAAATATACACGCATTCCAGTGGATAATGATCAGAATGTACAAGACAAGGTTCCCAATACGAAACATGTTTGGGTAGTTTGTTCTCGTTTCTGTACGGTCAAAAAACTCAAACAACCTGGCAATCCTCAGGATCCGGTTAAATCGTAATTCAGGATAGTTCATTCCAAGTTTTAAGTATGCCAAGTCGGTTGGAAAAAGGGAAAGTAGATCCAACTTGAATTGTCTAGTGGATTGGTAATTTTGTCTTAGCTTCTTCTCATCACGAACCAGCAGCCCTTGTTCAAGGAAACCTTAACAAGTTAGAGAAATGAACAAGAAGAACGAGTGGTTTAGTAGAGAAATGCATACATACATCAGAATGCTTCTCAGATATCTGTAAATGCAAAATATGTTGCCATACTCTGACTAAATTATTCTCCTGCCCTATAAATCTTTGTGATTGCTGTGTGTCTTCAAGTTGACTCCAATGTATATTGGAGCTGTCCTGTCTCCAGAGACAGAAGTTAGAATTTAATGCCTGTGCCTTTAAGGATATGGGAGGGGAAAGTTATTTTACAGTTAGGCAGATCAGTTGGAGTCAAGGTGTGGAAGGAAACAGAGGGATAGAAAGTGCACAGAAATTCACAGCCAGTCGGAGATAAATAGATAGTTAGATAGTTATAGTTATATAGATAGAAGTAAGATATAGATAGTGATATTGTGGCATAGATAGTAAAGTAGTAGTAGTCATATCTAATATCTATATAGTAAAACAACGACAGTCACATTTTGAGTTTAAGAACAGGGCAGCAGAAGCTTAAATACCAGAGAGCAAGGAGGAAATACGATCAAAAAGGCTCAGCGTCATAATGGACGAAGCGATAGTTCCCCCTGTGGCTGAATTGAGGAACCTCCAGGATATAAAGTGGAAGAACTGCTGAATGGCCTCTATCTGTCTGTCTGTATGTATGTCTTGTATGTCAAAAACGGCATTGAATGTTTGCCTTGTATATGTGCATTGTGATCCGCCCTGAGTCCCCTTTGGAGTGAGAAGGGTGGAATATAAATACAGAAAGTAAATAAATAAATAATAGGATTTCCTTTTCACAAAGACTTTCAGTGGCAACTAGAGAAAGGAAATTCAGTTTGTTTCAATGAAATGTTGTTTTACTTTACACTAGCTGTACTCATGCATTGCTGTGGCCAACCTTCCCTCATTCTTTCTCTCTTCCTTTCTTTCTCTCCTTCCTTCCTTTCCTCTTCCTTCCTTCCTTTTTTTTCTTTCATTCTGTCCTTCCTTCTCTTCCTTTTCCCTTCCTCCCCCCCCCTTTTCTTTCTCTTCCTCTTTCTCCCCTTTCTTCCTTCTCTACCTATTCTTGGACTGCAACTCCCAGCAGTCCTCCTGATTGATGGATCTATCTACCTACCTATCTAACTCTATCCAATCTATATCTATCTGTAGGATTGCTGGGAGTTGCAGTCCAGAAATAGGAAATTGGAAATATGCAGGGATTAAGATGCTCTCAAAGAAATCCAAAGAGAAGAAAGCTTTCAGCTTGGAAACATTGCATTTGGATCATCCTCCTCTCCTAAAGGACCTGGTCTAGGGGATGCTGGGAGCTGAAGTCCGGAAGAGAGTGTGGATATGCTTTTGTATGTTTTGTTTGTCAGGGGGAGTTGTTTTTCCACATGTACTGTAGAATCTTTTTGCTTTTTTTGGCCTTTTTAAGTCCCTTCTGTTGTGTTTTCCAGTGTTTTTATGAGTGATGGTCACTCATTGGCCTGATAGGTGTATTGTGTCCAAATTTTGTGTGAATTCGTCCAGTGGTTTTTGAGTTATGTTAATCCCACAATCCAACCTCATAGCAACTCAGAGGCAGAAGAGGACCTATCCTACAGTTCATTCAAAAATGTTTATTCAGAGGAAGTTTGTCATTGCCTACCTTTGAAGTTGAGAGAGTGTGACTTGCCCAGACTTGTCAGACATTGGGTTTCTATAGCTAAACACTGATAACAAACCCTGGTCTCCCAATGTCTTAATCCAACACTCCAATCTCTGCATAATAATAATAATAATAATAATAATAATAATAATAATAATAATAATAATAATAGAAAAAATGGATTATTGATGTCGCCATTCCAGGTGACAATGGCATTGAGGAAAAACAACAGGAAAAACTCAGCAATTATCAGGACCTCAAAAACTGCAAAGGCTCTGGCATCAACCAGTCCAGGTGGTCCCAGTGGTCATCGGCACACTGGGTGCCGTGCCAAAAGATCTCAGCCGGCATTTGGAAATAATAAACATTTACAAAATCACGATCTGTCAACTACAAACGCCATCTTACTTGGATCTGCTTGCATCATTCGAAAATACAAAGTCCTAGACACTTGGGAAGTGTTCGACTTGTGATTTTGTGATACGAAATCCAGCATATATATCACATTTGCTGTCATGTACTGTGTTTTTGTGTCAGTAAAATAATAATAATAATAATAATAATAATAATAATAATACTTTATTTATAACCTGTCCTATCTCCCTGAGGGGATCATGCTGGCAATCCCATCAGTAAATAAATAATAATTGAATAAAGAGGTCAGAGTTCTGAAAAGTTTGTTTTTAGGTAAAAGATTACTGAAAGATCCATGGAATTGCTATCCACAAATAAATGAGCAACACTTTTTTTTCCTTCCAAGCAGCAATCTTCATTTTCTCTAAGGTTTTCAGACAATTCCCACCTGTGCCACATAGCATTATCAACAATAAAGGGCTGTGGGAATGAAAACTCAAGCATGGGTGGGAGGAGGGGGTCCAAGTTTCTGCACTGCTGCACTGTATGAGCTCAGATGTCTGCCTCTGCCTTTCTGATTCTTCTGTTTTAATCCAGTCTCACCAACACCTTTTTTTAAAGGAGCCATTACTACATTTCTGTGGTGGGAAAATGCCGAGAATGAAAGAGCATACCTGTCCTAAATCTGACAAATGTGTCCATGATGTAGATGGCATCAGAGGAATAATCCAAAATCATCCAGAGTGTAAGGTTTTCCATTTGGAGCTCATCAAAGCAGGCTCTAGAAAGAACAGGAAATTTGATCAGAACTAGCTTCTTGTCCAGGGAATATAAAAGTCACTAGAGCCTATTCTAAGCAGGGCCAACCTTCAGAAGTACTAGATGGGAGACCACAAATTAATTGTGCTATCTTTGAAAGGAAAGAACTAGCAGCACCATCTTTAAGTATTCATTACCTAAGAAAAATCTGTGAAATGCATGGGGTCACCACAAGCCAACAGGCAATTTTAGCCACATACCTACATACACCTCTGAACCCAGTAGATGTCAGTGAATAAAATAACATCCTTCCTTCCCTCTCTTCCTTTTCCCTTCCTCACCCCCCCCCTCTTTTTTTTCTTTCTTTTCCTCTTTCTCACTTTTCTTCAACTGAAATGATGAAGCTGGCTATTTTCCTAAGTGTGTCCTCCTGGTGTAGAAGGGATAAGAAAACCAAGAAAAATGACATGTTTATGTGCACGGCATTAAGCGAGTAATGAGGTGGAGAGGAAGGCGATGGCCACTGGTTGCAAAGCTGTGCCTAAGGAATGCAGTTCTCCTGAACCCACGAGATGGCGCCCACAGGCCACAGAAAGTATGGATATTGCTTGCACAGATCTGGGATGTTTTCTGAGATGCTTCAAAAAGATCTGTTTACACAGAGCAAATGGAGAAAGAACACTAGGGTATATGAACCACTGTCTTAAAGGACTTGCCCAAAATAAATAGATGGACAGAGAGAGAGATAAAAGGCCTAATGAGTTGAAGGGCAAGTGGTCTTATATTGATCTGATAGTTTGGCAGATATGTTGAACTACAAGCCCCATGACCTCCAGTCAGCCTGGACAGAAGGATGGCACATATGGAGAAAGCTTGTCAAGGAGGGTAAGGAATCTCTATTGTATAGGCAGCTCCTAACATGCTTTAAAGGGGGGAAAGTAGTCTTGGAGATTGTTTTTCTCAATAAATTCCTACATTATTTCTGCAGTTTTTTTGGGGGGGGGTTGGGGGGGTTGTGTCAGGAGCGATTTGAGAAACTGCAAGTCACTTCTGGTGTGAGATCATTTCTGCAGTGAGATAATGCAAGTGAATAAAAATCTTGTTTAAAAAATGAAACCATGATGGAGCGAGGAAAGGGAAACCACAACCCAGCAATGAATATTAGAGTTGTGCTACTTAAAGTGGTAGTCCATGGACCATTGTTAGTCATGAGCCTTCAGCTGCCAATCCCTGGAAAGGTTCCAGGAAAGAAAGAAACAGGCATAGGCAATGGGCACAAATATGGCTATGAAAAGAGCATGCTAGTCCCCCACATCGGAAAGCGTAAGAAGTACTGAATTAGATACATGCCAAGAGCGTACTAGTCCCCCACATCGAAAAGCGTAAGAAGTACTGAATTAGATACACTCCTGGCCCCATCCTAGCAAATCTAAGAAGTGTTGTAGAAACCTAATCAAAAGCTGAAACCAAAAGCAGGAGAAAGAAAAATAATTGCAACAACAAAAACAAACATAAAAGACTTATCCTTACCTACAAACTAACAAACACCAGTTATAGAAGACTGGTGTTGCAATTATGGTTAGCCACCTGTAATACAGGTTGCTGGAAGGATCCATCACAAAGACTTCTTTCTTCTTTCTGGAAAGTGGAAACATACCGGTATGTAAATAAATATGAAATGTCATAGGACCAGGGGCAGCTGGTGGTTTCCTGTCTGCCCAGCAGTTTGTTTTGTGCACATACCAAACTTTTAAAGAGCTATCCAAGGCGCTGAATCCCATTTCCCCAAACAGCTTCACCGCCTTTAAAGTTCAGATTAAAACCCAGAACAACTCATGACTCCCACAGACATGTAAGCCATCACTGACACCAACTCTCCATGTATCATTGCTCACTCTTTCAGCAGAACACTTCTATGATTGCAGCGTCAAAAGATAATTTAATTTAGGACTGATAAGAACCCATGGCACCAGGGCAGTTCAACACCTACAGAACATCTTATCCTCACTCATCAGCAAAACTGGTGGTATGCTTTTGTCTAAATACACTGGAATGTACTTAATTATACACTTCAACCCAAAGTGTTCTCTGGACCACGAGGCTTGAATTGATGAAACTTAAACTGATAGAAGGCCAGTAATGTCCATACAGATGTAAAAACCTTTCCCGTCAAATTACCAAATACAGTCTTCTTCAAGTTGGGCTACATAAAACCACACCAGACCAAAAAGAAGAGGAATTTTGGCTAGTCCTCGTGATTTTAGGGGCATTATGTATTTATGTATGTATGGCCTTATGTATTTTACCATGAACATAGTACTATGTCACTATAGATAGACAGACAGATATCACATTCATAAACAAATAAGGACAGAAGTAACCTAAAGCATTTTCTTAAGCAAGTTAGCTACTAGAGAGCTGACTACTATCACAACATATCTATTACTACAAGCTTACTACCAGTGTGTAAAGTACACTACTATTACTATTGTTTGATGGTTTGTCTAGCAGCAGAGTGTACAAAACACACTTGGGGTGTAATCTTTGCAACACACGTCCTGGAATCAGACTTCACTTTGCCTTCAATGCACACCATTTCATTAAACATCTTCTTGTCATGACATTGTAAAGAAACAAATCCTCATGAATGAGCATGCTTTTAAGAATTCACAAATACTGTTGTGATTCTAAGGAGATTAAAAAAGATGTATATTCCTCTGAATTCAAGAAACATTCCTATGTAAACATGGGTCGCGTGGTGAACATCAATCTAATACACATACAATTCTAAGTCCCATTGAATTCAGTGGTGTTTACTTCCCAGTTAACATAGAAAGGTTGATAGTGCAGAGGGCAATAATTTGGTTAGGAATAATATCCACGTGTTTCCATTTGCTCAGTCTTGTATCAAAAGTGGGCTTGATGTTGATTAGTCATGCCCTGCTGAGAGTCCTATTGGGCAGGAAGTTTGTTGCAAAGATACAGCCTTTCCAGTATACTTACTCTTCTTCCTTCTTTTTGTCATCCTTTTTGACATCTTTTTTCTCCTCTTTTTTCTCCTCTTTTTTCTCCTCTTTCTTTTCCTCCTCCTTTTTCTCCTCCTTTTTCTCCTCTTTCTTTTCCTCCTCCTTTTTCTCCTCCTTTTTCTCCTCCTTAACCTCTTTCTTGTCTTCCTTCTTTCTGCGTAATACAGTGTAATAAACTTAGCAAAATTTAGAGTTTACCAACACCTAGTCTTAATGCAGTATATTGGATATCAGATAGATTTGAAGAAGCCAGCCTAAAATCACCAAAAGTGCAATTCATGCAGAAGAATCTGGATTACATATATTGATAGTACTGACACATACTGGGAAATCAGCTAGCTACACAGGGAAAAGTGGTGGCTGATTTGATAAGAGACTTGCTCACTCTTTAGGAACTTGTTAGTTATGTATACATTTCCAAGTCTATACTTCCAAACCTAAACCAGGTTTGGTAGTTCAGAGTTGGAAAGAACTTCAGAGATACCCTAATTCAGCCCCAGAATGAAGTCCACTGCTGCAACAGCCTTTTAGATATTTGATTCTTTTCGCTTTTTAAAATCCTACTTCTCTGATTTTATTTTGGAATCAATTCCAGCATGAGCGCTGGATTAATCCCAAGTGAAACACTCGGGCATTTAGCCTTATTTCCTGATCAAACTGTGAAATCCTGTCTTAATTCAATGCCATTGAATTATTTCTAAGTACTGTATATACTCGAGTATAAGCCTAGTTTTTCAGCCCTTTTTTTTGGGCTAAAAAAGTTCTCCTAGGCTTATACTGGAGTCAAGGTTATTTATTATTTTACTCTGTTATTAGTATTTTTTGTTACATTTATTATTTTACTCTATCATTATTACCTTTACATTATTTTACTGTACTATTATTTTATTACATTTATTATTTTACTCTATATATTATTATTACATTTATTATTTTACTCTATTACTGTTATTAAATTTCCATTATTTACGCTATTGTTGTTGTTGTTGTTGCATTTATTATTTTACTCTATTATTATTGGAAGGATACGTAAGCACATTGATATTGAAGAAGATTAGAATAATGGTTTCATCAGAGCTGGATAGTCTTATCTTAAATTACAGTTTTATGCAAATACACAAAAACATTTAACCTACTGATGATTTTCAGTAGCAGCTGCATTTTTCGCCCTTGGCTTATACTCAAGTCAATACATTTTCCAAGTTTCTTGTGGTAAAATTAGGTGCCTCGGCTTATATTTGTGTAGGCTTATACTTGAGTATATACGGTAACTCTGCACAGATTTGCACTGCACTTGAGAGGGAAAAAGGAAGAGGAGGAGGATCCAGCAGTACCTTTATGACTGACCTGTTCTAAGATAAGCTTTATGGGATTTCAAGCAACAATTCCAGATACACCGATGGAATTAATATTAAAGCTACATGGATAGCATAATAGGATACAGAAATATGTAATTTGTAACATGGCTGTAAATCTTCTGTAGGATTATACAGAACTGTCAGGCTTTTTATGCTACCACAGAATAACCTAGCCATCTCTTTGGAAACGACTGCACTTAGTCTTTCCTTACCCAGCAATTTATTACAATTTGTTACTTTTGACAGCTGTTAGCTGACCTGGGAGCACAGCTATGGAAAGCTTAAAATTTGACAAAAATGGAAAAACCCTCATTCTCACTGCTATAATCACAATGTCCAGAATGTTCTGTACTGTGAATCGTGGCCAGCTCAGTTCCTTTGGTGGTACTGCAGGGAGGGTAGAGTTTCATGGGCTTAATGAGAAAATGTTATTAGACAACACAGACCCTTGGGAGAACATAGAGTGAGGAGCTAACCCTAATGCAGCTTTCCCTCTGCCCCATACAAGTAAATAAGGAAGGCAGGAATTAAAGAACAGCTGTTGTTTAATACCCAAGGAAATAACACCACAAGCTACGAAGCGAAGTAAAGGAGTTTAGGATGTAAATCAATGTGGAAATAAATTGTTGCTGTTTGGAGAGTAGATGAACAAACAGCTTGAAATGCGTTCCTTTGGGGGAAAATACCTTGCAGGATGTTAAAATATAAAAATAATAGATATGGTGACAGGCAAATTGAAGATGCACACACAGAGAGTGAGATATACAGACAGGCTGAAATCCTGCACTGTAGATAAATAAATATAACATTTTTCTCCACTCCTGCAAGACTTGTCTTCAGGGTCCACAGCCATTTAGTAGCCAGTGGAAGGTAAAGTGTGCATGTGAAGGAACAGCTTGGTATGCCCTGATAATCAATCACAAAATGACCAGGGCAATAGCTGAGGACCCCTGGAAGTTCTCCAGAAGTCCAGGAGAAAGATGTCATCATTTTGCATGCAACTACAGGGACACAACAGTTTTTTTTTAAAAAATAGTATATCCTCTTCTCCAATGACAACTAAAGAGTTGTGTTGAGCAGCGTCTCATGGGTAATAGCTGAGATTCGAGTGGGGAGTGTCAGGGTATAAGTGGAGCTTTCCCCACTGATACTATCATATATTCCTTATAGGATGTCAGGCACAGACTTAAAAGAGCATAAGGATTACATGATATGTCCCCTCCACATATATACACACATACCCAATAATTGGAGAAGTTATTGGGGAAAGTCCAAAAAACTCCAATTATTGAAGAAATTGAGAAATGCTTTAAGAAGAAAATGGAGTGCTTGTCTTCTACAGAGGAAAAAAATCCTATTGTGAAAGCTTTTATTTTTTGCTGAAGTTTAGTTTGAAGGGAAGGAAATGAACAAGAAAGCTACCCTACTGGTTTTCACATTTTATTAAAGGGAGGGTAAGGATTAGGAGAGACAAGGCAAAACCAGATTGTCCGTGTTGTACTTACTCTTCATTGGTGTTGTTGGAGTAGTTGATGTTAAATCTGGCCAAAGCCCATTGACTATCATGAGTTAAAACAAATGAGTGGATAAAGAAATGAATGAATAAATGAATGAATGAACGAAGGAGCAATATGAAAAACAACACAAACAAATATCTCAGTCACGATATTAGCAGGGATCATCACCACACAATCACTGGCTGAACTGTTAGTCCTTCTCCCATATGCTGAAAAGATTAAGGAGGTCAACCTTGACCGCAGCACTAAGCTCCTTTGCATAACCATCCAGGGCACCCATTTGCCCCCAGTCACGTGCTGCCTACACACGTTGTGTTCATGCCTGGTGTCTGAAGCACTTTAGCCTGGTCTCAGGCGTATTAATGCTTGACAGTTGAGGATCTGGCTATTTATAGCCTCTGTTTGGCTACAGCTCCTAAATGTTCCCCAAGCTTTTCCCATGACCCTAAAAGCAACATTGGCAAGAAATGTCTCCTCTTGCTACAAAGCCCACAGCCAGTGAGAAACATAGCTCCAATGCTGCAAATCCATAATAATGATAAAAGTATTGAGAGGGGATATATTTGCTGTTTGTGGGGAGTTTTAAAAGCAATGAGTAATGGGTTAGTTTGGTATCCTGTATCTGATGAAACAGACATAATAGAGCTTCATAATTCCAAGCTGTGATTCTTTCTCCAGGCATAAGTTAACACAGAAGAAACAAAGACCTGCAATGTATGGATTTCTGTATCAGCCCTACTTTAAAAAAAAAAGAGAGACTAAAACAAGAGAACAGTTTAACTAACCTAATGAAGCCAGGAAATTCCTTGTTATTATCACTGATGTATATGAATGCACACACATCGATTTGTCCATCTTTCTAAGTTACCCAACAATGGAAAAGACAATAAAAATGAAATAAATACAAAATTTTAAAAGGCCCTTGTGTTATCTAAAGATGCCCTGTTCACATGAACAGAAAAAGTAAAGAGATGCTTTTGAGATATTTTTATTTACTTATTTATTTACTTTATTTTTTTATCCCTTCTTTCTCCCAAGGTGGCTAACAACCAACATGACACAATACAAATTCAAAAGAGAGCCAATGCATTGCAATATGAATATAAAAATTAAAAAGCAATCAAATCTTTTGTCATTAAGTATAATGACAATATATTCAATTAAAATACAGCAAAAATGATTAAAACTACATTTAAAAACTACAGAACTCCACCACTCTCACCCCAAATGCCACTCGCAACCCAATCCTCATTCCTGATGGTGGCGTGTTGTGACACTGTTCCTCAAATCTAATTATCTGCACCAAAGAGATCTCAGTTGAATTTTTAAATTTCTTCTTCAGTAGAATGGAACCTGAGAAACAAGTTATACATAATATATATGTCCAGATCTTGCCTAATGTGAAATATCTGGGGAAAATTAAGAGACCAGAGGCTGGGGAGGGTTTCAATGTTAATACATAACACTGCCCTGCTCTGCCCCTTCCAGTGTATGGGCCATTGAAGCCTATCTTTTGTCTCTTCACATTCCCCATTTCACTCTTTACACTTCTGGCACAGTCACTGAAAGTTATCAGTATAAACATTAAGCCACTCAAATGTAAATGAAGGACCATCAGTTTGAGATGGGCTCTTGTCTGAAATACAGCATTTTTGGACTAACTCTAGTTTAGAGCTGTTGTCAAAAAAAAGTAACCCTTTCCAGGCTTTGGGTCCAGTACAACATTCAATCAAAGTCAATGACAACATTCATGTTTTCTAAATGCAACATTCAAAATCAGTGCTTGACCCACTTACTTTTTCAATCCATCTGCATCTTCATAGTTCAACTGAGAGATGCTATCTCTGCTTGAAAAATCTTTGAGCTCAGGCCCTCGGATACGTTCAAGGAAAGAATCCGGCCTTTGGTCTTCATGGTGCAGGTTTCTCCTGGCCCAGGATCTCAGCGACAATACAAGCCATGATAATCTGAAAGACAAGAGGGACAAAGAATTATTGCGAAGTGAATTTGACTCAGTTAACAACTGTAAAGAGTGCTTCACAAAGGTGGCACTCTGAATTCCCTACAGATAACAGTACAGTTATGTCACCATAGTCCCACCTGCAACTTTTGGGAGTGGTTCATACCTCTCTTTTCATTTGATCTATCCACAAATCAGCAAGTGCATTCATTTTTGCTATTAATGGGGGGGGGGGGGATCCACCTGGAACCGGTGATCTTCCTTTCCCTTGGAGCCCCATAGCCAAGAAGCTTCTTTCACAGAGAAGGAGAAACCTTTGGAGTTGGCTTTGCAGCATCTCCAAGGGCGACAAGGAGGAATGGAAGGGAAAGGTGTTTGATCACTCTGGAATCAGATTAAATCTAGGCTAGAGGTATTTTGTGGCTAACCAAATTATCCACGCTTTATCAAAACTGTCCTATTCACAAGATCTTAAACTCCTCACAGGATAAAATCATATGAGCTATAATTTACTTTTGTCCAACTACTGTTGCACAGAAATGAATCTTCAGTAGGGATATGAAAGAGCTATTTTGATATTTTGCCAACAGAATAATCAGAGTTTGGGAAAGTTACTTTTTTGGATTATTACAGCTCAGAGAATTTCCCAGTCAGCATGGCTGCCATCATCATAATCACCACCATCACCATCTCAGTTTCAGCATTTACCAGTTATTATTAATATTGCTATTGAAGCTCTGGAAATGAAGTCATAACAATGTTAATAAAATCTACATGCACAAACTTCCATGAATGAGTTTTACCCACAACAAAAGCAATGTTTAAGAGAGCAAACTATACTGTGTGGACTGCCAAACTTGCTGATCCATCAGTCTCTGTCTTGCTTTTCTATCTGTAAAGATTCTGGTTTACCACTGTCTTCAAGTAAGAGTTTAGCATAGCTAAATATAAAATATGACCGTATGGCTCAGCCAGAAAGCCAAAAGAAATTTAGCCAAGAACAAGTTTTCACGGTCCCTTTAATGACCTCTCATTGAACAGAGAAGAATGAGTGGGTTGTTGTAGGTTTTTCCGGGCTATATGGCCATGTTCTAGAGGCCATGTTCTACATGGCCATATAGCCCGGAAAAACCTACAACAACCCAGTAATTCCGGCCATGAAAGCCTTCGACAATACAGAGAAGAATGAGCTTTCATGCCATTTTTAAACTATCCAATACAAAGGAGCATCCTGAAACTAGAAGACCAAGGGTACAGACCAACTTACCCTTCGTTTCATTTCTAATAGTTCAACATGAGCTAAGCTTGTTTCATAGGCAATATTGTTGCTTATCTTTGCTGCAACAACTTGTTTCCAGTACAAATCTCAATCTCTTGTAAGGTCACTGTGCTGACGCTATGAAAATGATGCTTACCTAGCCATTGCTCCACTGCCTGTGAAGGAATTCCTTCGAGATTCAGGCAGGCCACCGGTCTCCATGGAAATGACTTTCTGCAATTCTGAAGAGGTGTCCTCCTCACACAGCGAGTGGGTCCTTCAGAGCCAAATAGTAAAAGAAGAAGAAGAAAAAGCATTGAATCTCTTTTGAGGTTTGTGTTGTATTCTTGAAGCCCTTTCCAGTCAGGCAACTGTGGAAGAACATGCATGCGTTGCTCAATCATGGATAGTACTACTGTCATGAATGACGTTGCAGAAATCACCAAGCATTAATCATCTTCTGCTTGAGTTATCCATCTGTGAGTGGTGTCATGGAAAGATTTTGTGAGAAATGATTTCTGACAGATACATCATCTACATGTTTATTAGATTTTCCCCCACTAGATCCATTTGAGATGGCTAAAGCAGTGCATAAGAGGTGAATGAAATTCAAATGTCCCCTGGAATTAGCATTCCAGTCAAGAAGCTCAGCAGATACTCCAATCCACCCAAGGAAGGAAGTACAAGGTAAAATGCCCTTTCTTTCCTAAGACATATGCTAGTAGGCTAGCATTTGGGCATCGAGTGCACATAGTACTTTTAATATTCTTCGTCTTGTTTTGTTCTCACTGTTACCCATTGAGATAGGTCACTGGTACAGTGCGCCTTTGGTGTCTGCTGGGATTTGGTTTCAGGACCCCAAAATCCAGAGATGTTCAAGTTCCATTATATAAAATGGTGGCCCTTGTATAAAATGGCAAAATTGAGGTTCATTTTGGGGATTTTTATAAGTGCTAAGATTCTAGAGCTGTGGGTGCATGCATATGAAAATCAACTGTTTTTTTCCCATTTTATAGATAGTGAATAACAGTAAATAATCACATCTATAGTTGAATGCATATACAATTTCCAGATTCCCTCCAACTATGCTACATTATTCTATCCATGTATACTGATCTCTATAGCTTAGCCTATCCTTATCTATCAATTTGTCCATCACTCCATCAGTTCATTCCATATCTTCTACATGGGGAAGAATGTATGACTTCCTCTTGGAAGCAAATTCTCTTGTAAGCAAAGGAGTTTATTTGGCCCTCTTCTTCATAGATCGCTTTGCACCCATGGCATGGGATACATCTGGGAGATAATAAGTAACCACAACAAATGATCTTAAAATGCATGGCTTGGGTCTAGGATATGCCTTCTGTGAAAGGAATGGCTATGCCGCCAACTTGTACATTAGTATATATAGTAGATGTTTATGAGAAGCTTTTCAGGATGAGTCAAACAGCATTTGTTAGTTTTTGCTCCCCTGCAAATGATAAACTGAGCTATACTTCTGGTTAAGATGAGTATCCCTTATTTGGAATTCCGAAATACCCCAAAATCTGAAATTGTCCACATGGGTGGCTGAAATACTGGTAGTTCAGTGTACACAGACTTTGTTTTATGTAGAAACATAAATGAATGTTATGTTTAGACTTGGAGACCATCTCCTAAATATCTCATTAGGTAAGTACAAGAAAAATAGGGAATTCCAAAACTCATGCTTTTGATCACAAGCATTTTGGATAAGGGATGCTCAACCTGTAACAACAATATTGATTCAATCAATAAAATCTGAATGGCACCCTAAAGAGTTAATGCAAAGATTATTGAGAACATAAGATGTGTTTTAACTTGTGAAAGTCAGTATATCACCAAATGTGAGGTCTACAGTAAAGTTACATTCCCCTCTCCCAATCTCAGAGGCTTGATGTGACTAAGTAACCCGTTGAATTATTTTTTTTCTTTGTTGGAAGAAAATTTTTGAGTGAAAAACTATCTGTGTACAACAGGTTATAGCACAACATAGAGATTAACATTCACACTAAAAAAGCAGTGTTCTTTATGGAATTACCACAAACTCCTTAAAGCAGTGATGGGTAAAAACACATCATGCTGGTTTAGGCTCCTCCATGGCTACGATTGTGGATCACCGGAAATGATGTCATATCACTTCTAGTTATTTTGATACACCCTTTAAGATTTAACAGATGAAAATCAGGACAGGTCTAACCAAGCAACATCAGAGTGTAGCCAAGATAACAAATGTTATTAGGGAGGAAGAAGACACAAATTAGGAGACGCAGCAGAATTTTGCCACCCTGAGTCACCTTTGGGCTGATATGGGCAGGATAGAAATAGTGTAAATAAATAAATAAAATAATTGTGAAGGTCATGACTCTGCTGTTGAGTTAATTAAGTGAAAACTACTTTTTAAATTTTGAACTCAGTTTACAGCAACTGAATGAAAGTGTGGACAGAGAGAGAAAGGGGGTGGGAGAAGGGGGGGAAGGAGATTAATTGTGACTGTCGCTAACAAATGAGAATAGTGGGAGTCTATGCCTTTCATGGTATATTAAGTACTGTATTTCACTGCATAATAGTCACCCTTCAAAAAAGGGAGGTGCAACTATTATGCAGGGAAATGCAGGGCCTCCCTGGCTTGGCAGACAAATAAGGCCCCACACACCTTGCCTGCTGGTACACAGGACAAACAAGACCTACCGGCATCCAAAGAAAGCTCCATAGGTTTTATTTGCCCATGCATGGTGGCAGGCGAGACCTAGGAGGCTGGCAGCTGAGGGAGGCCCCATAGCTCTTGCCAGCCAAAACTAGAAGGCCTCCTTTGGCTGGCAGCAGATAAATAAAGCCTTCTAGCTCTTCCTGAAAGGCACATGAGCAGGTGAAGACTCACCTGCGTGTGTGCTTTTCCCATGGAGGGATTTACTGCAGTGTATGTGACCCTTAGGTAGTCCCACACAGAAAATTGAGTCTGTACCTACCATAGTTGCCCACATTTGAGTTAGTTTGTAATTCAACCAAACACACCTACCTGGAAGTAACCTGTATCAAATTCAGTGCAACATATAGTGAGTAGACATATATTGAATTGCTCCATTATAAACTATACCCCCATATTGTTTCAATAATTAAGTCTGGTTTATTTTGTTGCATTTGGGGATACTGAATATTTCTATAGTAATTATTCTTACCTGATAAATCCATTTCCAAGTCTATCAGGTTCATTGTCAATGGATGTTAGAGACAGCCTATGGATGGCCGGGCAGGAGTGATAGGTGTCCACTTTAGCCATTTTGCTTTACATATCAGCCACCAAATGGTACCTGAAATACAAGGGGGAAAAATCTGCAAATTCTCCATCAAAAGAGGACATTCAAAATAACTTTTGTAAAAGTCAAGAAGGAAAAAAGGAGGAAAACTAAGCATGATTACTGTCACTGAAACCCTCATTCCACTCAACAATACTTACAACTCAGTCCTTGATAAGATTGACTCAATCTCCCAGTCAAAAGTAATTTGAACACAAATGGATCATGCTGAATTTAATGGGACTTATTTCTGTGATAAATATGCAGCGTATTAATCTACACTGCCATACAATGCAGATTCAAACTGCATTATATGGCAGTGTAGATCCAGCCTTACTTCATTGTGTTTGGTTGTAACCTTGCTTAAGTAATAGTCCTATTGTGGAGCAGATTATTTTGCAAGGAAAAAACAGTCATTTTTCATTGTTAGCTGTTATTTGTCTTATTGAGGTCAAATAGGTTTTAATTCTATTGTCTTGTATAATTGAAAGCAGTTTATACTTTTAACTTTTTTTGGTCTTTAGGCTTTTTGTATTGTTATTTTAATAAGTGGTCTCACTTATTGATGCTTATTTTTAATATCAGTTGATACCAAGATTTTTCATGTCTATAAGTACCTATTCAATTCCTGCATATTAACATTTTGATTCATATTAAAGCAGTGGGGAATCTGTGAAATTTTAGATTTTTTTTACTATAATTTCCATCATCCCTCAGTGCTGGTTTAAACAGCTGAGAATTAAAAGCCAACCAGATCCAGAGGACCATAGATTCCTTATGCCTGCTCTAGAATATTTAAAACAACATAAAAAGATTATAATATCTTGAATGGATAGAGAAATGTTCCGGAGTCCCAAATTTGATGGCAATGCTTGACATAGTCTCTCTTGTTACAGAGTCGATCCTTAGGAATTGTGGGAGTTGAAGTCCAAAACACCTGGAGGGCCAAAGTTTGCCTATGCCTATTCTAGTCCATCTTAATTGACAATAGAAATAACAAAATGTAGGCCTGTGACTCTGTCACTTGACTTAGTCCAGATGTAAATTTGCAATGACTACAGGTGATATCATCCAGTCTGAATAAACCCTGCCATCAAACATCTACCCCTCCCAACATGACTTCTATGATATTATGGTATACCTGCTGAAAATTCTGTATTCTGGGTAGGAGTGGAGAGAAGGTGATATAATCTTAAAATTATCAAATTTAATGTAATTGGCCTCAGCCCAAAGTTGAATAAACCCACTGAAACAATGGGAGCATATTTGAAAGATCACTGTTTCAGAAAGTCTAGTATAGCAAGGATTAGCAATTAAATTTAGGCTTCTTTTAAAATAACTACGTGGCTCCCTGTGACAGCATGGTGTAATCTGTAGTGGGTTGAGCGGGAATATGGCTGGAGACCAGGATTTGAATCCCTGCACAGTTACAAAAACCTAAAAGGTAACATTGTATAAGTCACACTATGAGTCTTTGAGATAGGAATAAACAAACCCCATCTGTACAAATCTTGCCAAAAAACTCATTATGCGTTTGCCTTAGGGTCACCATAAGCTGGAAAAACTTGAAGACACAAAAGAACAACAATGTAGTTCTCTGTCTTAAAGTTGCATGCTCTAAGCAGGGTTCAGGAACTGCAGATATTGGGCTGCAGTTCTCACCTGCCTTAGCCAGGATCACCAATAGTGAGAGCTGAAGAGAGTTCCCGTCCATCACTGTCTTGATGACCCCATGTTCATAAAAAATTGTCTGGACCTACTTTTTGTATCAAAAAAGAGACTACACATAACTACACATGTCAGCCACTACTACAATTCGCACCAGCAACCTCTCGTTCCATTCTCACAGGGTTCCTGTGAATGATTAAATGTGTGAAGTAGGGGCAATTCAAAAGACTAGTACAGAATGCTTGTGAAGGCTGTCCAAGCTTTTACCTTAACGGTTCAAACACTTGAATTGTTTCTTGACTGGAATAGTTTATATGCAAAAATTTTCATCTAGAAAGGAGTAAAGTTTTCCATTTGGTTCATTTTTTAAAAAAAATAAGATCTGATTAAAATTCAGAAATATATAAGATGTAAATTTGAATGAGTAGGCTTATTCAAGTGGGCAAGACTTTCCATGGCCTCCCTAGCATCACCATAAAATGGAACACAGCAGACCTTTTGTAAAGCAATAATGATGTGTCTTTTTTCTCTCCTCTGTAACATTACTTGGGGCATTTTAAGATGATTTGGATGGATTGAGGATCATTTTATCATTTAAAATAATTCAATGGTCAAAAAAAGCAGCTAAAGGTAAGCATTATACAATAGATTGTATAATTTATTATATGCTGCAATACAACCAAAATCAAGATAAATGAGCAATATTAACAAGGTTTTAAAAAGTCAAGTGCTAGCATTTATTCTGTACTGTACATCTCAAAGCATTGTTTTAGCTTATATGTTTTTCTTAACCAGGCAGTGAGTTAAACCACTCACAGACCCCCATCTACACTGCCTATTTATTGCAGTTCAGTCTCAAACTGCAACAGCCAGACAACAACCTCCCACAAAAGTGTGCGAAAGAAAGCCCTTAATGTTAAGCAGTGCTCTGTGGTTTGTGTCATTGCCATCCAGGCTTCAAACTGGCTCCAGGATTTCCAATGTGATTATCTGAACAGTAAAACTATTTCTTTTCTCTTTTTTTTTTTTTTGAGGGGGGTGGTGGTGTAGAAATGGCATTAAATGGTTAGTGTAGATGGGGTTACAGAGAAATGTGTGCAAGAGAGAGGGTAGGAGAGATTGCATATAAACCAAATGAGTTTGCCTTCTGCTGTAAAGGTTTTCCAAGCTCTGCAGAGAAGAAGAAAAATAAACTTTACCAAACACTGCTTTTTGTAACGTGTAGAAATTGTAGTCTAATCAATGATACTTTTTCAGAAAAAATAGGTTTTTTACTTTAGCTGCTGAAAGATTTTTTCCATTAACCAATGCTTGCCACTCCCTTTAGACATGTGCACAAAATTCATTCCTACCATTTCTACAATTTCTTTCATCTCTTCCATTTCTTCAGAAGCACGAAACAGGAAGCCCCCTCCCCACATGAAAATCTGCTCAACACAAAAGCCTACTTTCGTGTGCATCCAAACTTGCTTCTTTGCCTTGGAAAGAGAATGTGTGTGTGGCGGGCCGTGCAGGCAGGCAGGCCTGGAGCTCAGCTGCAGGCACGCTCTGGGCCTGCCTGCACACCCCGCCATGCACGCACTCTCAGAGAATGTGGTGGGGCGTGTGTGGTGAGGTGTGCAGGCAGGCCCAAAGGGTGCCTGCAGCCAAGTACCTCTTACTCTAGAATAAGAGGCGTTTGGCTCTCTCTTTCCAAAGAAAGTGATTGTGTGGCAGGGTGTGCAGGCAGGTCCGGAAAGCATGCACGCTTGCCAGTACCTACAGCCGAGTACCTATTACTCTAGAGTAGAAACAACAGGTGTCAGGTAAAAAGAACGCACACTGGGATGGGGAGCCAGGGAAACCCCGCCCCCAATGATTCTATTTTCAGGCCCTGAAATGAAAGAACTGAAAACAATCCTCCCAATTTTGGGAAGCTTACAAAAAAAAAAAAAACAGATCGGGAGCCCCAATTAAAGCCAGGATACGAAAAGGGACAAAGCTTCCCTTGTCTATCTCTCTCCCTCCCCACCCCCTCTCCTTTTTATTCATGACGTGGAATCCTTTTTCACCCTAAAATCTACAACAGAAGCCAAAGTGGGATATTTTTCTAATTACTAATAATTTGTTGCTAGTAGGTTGAGTGATAGAAGATGAGTGTGGCCCCTTCCACACAGCTTTATAAAACTCTAATTAAACTGGATGATATGGCAATGTGGATTCAGATACTCCAGTTCAAAGCCGATATTGTGGATTATCTGCCTTGATAGTCTGGGTTACATGGCTGTGTGGAAGGGCCCTATGAGAAAGCAAAAGAAGGGAAACAGGAATAATAACAAATGTAGTCAGGACAATTGTAGGGGAAGGAGAGAAAAAATGCACAAGAGGGAAGCAATGGGAATAAGAAAAGAGGAAGATCAATGCAGCTAGGAAATGTGGGAAGTTGTATGTGAGAAAGGCGTGAAACAGCCATTTAGCCAGGAATTTTGAAGTGGGGAGAGAGAAGAGCACAAGAAAGGTGGAAATAATGGAATGAAAGATGAAAAGATTGTAGGTAGAAATATTGTTGGGGAGAGAAGGAGAACAACATGGAGGCAGAAGAAGATGGTGTTTAGCTAGAAGTTGCTGGTAGCAGGGAGAGAAAGATACATGAAATCAAAGATTGTAAGAACAAGGAATTGAATTCCTAAGAAGAATAAAAGTTCCTTATACCAGGCATTTTGCTAATAGTAGTGCAAGCCACATGTACTTCAGATGAAGAAATAAAATTATAGTGCAGTTTCAAATGTTTTAGTTAGGATACAGAAGGGGGGATGCTAACAGTAACTAAGAAAATGCTAGAAAGCAGCAATCAAAGCTATTTTGTAACTTCTTGCACAAAGAAAACTGTGTGGAAGTTCACTTTCACACTAACTCTGAAAATGCACATCTTCTAGTACAGAATTGAGCACATGGGTGGAAGCCATCCAAATTCTCCCCAAACTTTAATTAAGTTTATTTCATCAATTATCAAAGAAACTTAACTAAAGCAACAATTTACAGCAATTGAAATAAACCAAGGATTAAGGGGGGAAAGTGGGAGGAGGAGACAGAAACGGAGCATTTTAGGGGTGTTTTAAAAAGTAAGGATTAATCAGAACCAATCCTGCCAAATCAGGACAGTTAGAGAGTATATAGAGCAAAGAAAAGTGGTAGAAATCATCTGCAAGAGAATCAAATTGTCATGTAGAAGGTCTCACAGATACTTGGATCATAACTGGCATGGCCCAGATGAAAAGGTATTAGGAAAAGGTGACGTTGTAATAAGGGTGATTAAACAAAGGGTCAAATGGCAAAGTAATAAAGGACTTACTGTAGAGATTTAACTG